TTATTTTTGCATTTCAAATTTATTTTTTTTAAATCTGTAAGTTCATCAGGTAAATAAGTATCTTTAATACCATAAAATAATTTCGAAAGAAGAGTCCGTCTTTTCAAAACAGAATTTTGTAGATCGGCAGGTGATAAACGTTCAGGGTGATTCATATGTTTAAAATTGAATGCAAGAACATTTTTTATTGCTTCAGTACCTTTAGGTGACAAATATCGAAAATCTTGTCGACCACTCGTAAAGTGATACATTCCACCACGTAGACGTTGTACCAAATAAAGTGTAGATTCGCCTTTTATATTATAGTCTGAAAGAGTTCTGTAATCTTCTAGTCGCTTTCCAGCAAATAATAAACATTGTTGATCAGAAGGAGTACCTGTCTTGTCTTGTATCAATTCTTTTACAGCAACTATATTCATGTGGGAATTAACTTTTATAGAAACTCTTTTTCCAGCAATATATTCAACAAAAATTATAAAATCAGAATTGGATTCGTCAGCATCAGTCTATGATAAAAATTATGTGATATGAAAACAGAAGAAAAGTTATCAATTCACTTTTTCATGCAGAGGTTTTGCTATAATGACGCAATTATCTTGATATAACTGATATGACAAGACAGTATCATCTGACTTGAGTATTTTACCTTCATTCCAATTTTGTGTTTTCATTCGAGTCTCTTCATTTAATATACATGATTTTAGTTCAATGTTTGAAAGTTCTGCAAAATTCTTTATTCGAATTTTAATATTTTCTATGGTATCGGTTAAACGAATACAAAGCACAAATCGGTAAGGTGGTGCATATTCACAATATTCTACTATGATATTCACTATACCATATGTAATAAATTGATAACCATCTTCATAGTCGGATACAGATGATTTTACTTCAGAATCATTTAATGGCGAGATAATATTTTCATGAATTGTTCCAATTTTCATCCACTGTTGTAAATATTTTGGTACATAATTTTTCTTGTAATTTTTAAATATTGTACTGATCAATTCATGATCCATATATATATTAGTCATTGGATTTCCGTATGGATCAACAAATGTTATTGAGCGTGATTTTAATTCGTTTCGTATGTTCTTTTCATTTGTTAATCGACTATTAAGATATTTTTCGATTTCAATCATTTGATGTTGAATTGCTTGAACATGCAATACTAAATCTTGATAAACAAATGAAGTGGGAACTGTCGATGTAAAACTAGTCGATTCGACTGTTGAATTATTTCGATTAGCAACAGAATTATCCATCTGTCGATGATTATGTATCTAAAACTAAATTCATAGTAACGAACTAAACAAATTCAAATGCTAACAGCTTTCTTATCGAACAATAATATTAGGGCAGGTGAATTTTTAAATATCAGTCTTTTGATCCTAAATACCTTCATATTACATACAGTGTTGACACTGTTTGACGAATATCAAGAAGGTTTAATGCGATCTGTTATTGTGTGTCATTTTATACGCATGGATTCAAATTTTTCCAAATGAACTGTCTTAGCTATGAAGAAGCCATCGATTTTTACTAAGAGTTTTTTCTAAATTCAATATTATTACACATACACC